TGGCCCGGCCATCCTGGCGGCGCGCGGCACTTGCGTCACTTCCACGGGCCAGGCTGGGGCGCACGTGACAGCGGGCGCGTGCCTGGGTGCCCGCGGGGGGCGTGGCCCAGAACGGACAGCTGCGGGGGCGGGACTTGGAAGAGTGGAGGCGGGGCCTACACGGAGAAGAACAAAGCGTTTGGGCTTCTTCGTCCCGTCCATCTATTCCGGCCTCCTAGCTAGCGCGCCTGGAAGGCTGTGGGCACGCACGACGGTCCCTAGAAAGAGAGCAGCTGCGGCTGCAAGCGCAGCTTTGGGAACATGTGGGCATACCGGTCCAAACACTTGGGCTTAGGCACTTGGGTGGCGTGCGCATCCTCAAGCTCTGGTTGGCGGATTCGGGCTTCCTGGGAGATGCTAAGTGCATGCTTAAAGTAGACAGCCCACGGGCGATCGTCTGCGCATGCCCAGGCGATGGAGGGGCGTGTTGAGCTGGACGGATTCGGGCTTCGCGGGGAACGAGATGCGCATGCCCAGGCTCCGTGGCGGACGTGCGTAGGCGCAGGCTCCAGTTTGCGCATGCCCAGACTGTGAAGGGCCTCGTAACAGCAGTTGAGAGGGTGTGGGTTGGCGGCGGCGGCCAGAGCGAGATGCTAGTGTTCGTGATGGTGGCGGCGACTACCTTGCGGCTGTGCCCGCTGGCCAGAGCTCAGCCGCTGTGCCGGTGGGGCCGTTTTCCCGTGGCTAGGGTGCCCCCAGGGTTTGGGGAGCGGGCGGGCTCATCCCTGAGCGGAGGCTTGGGTGGGATGCAGGAAAGACGTCCCGCCCCCCAACCTCATTTGAGGTTTCCAAGTTTACTCTTCTAGGAAGCGAACTTGATACCCGCCCTTTCTCTCACCCCCCCCCACCCCTGCAGCCCATCACCAAGTCCTCTCATCACCATTTAAAAACTTTGGCCCGATTCCGATCCTTTCAGGCCACCTCCACCACGCTAGTCCGTGCCCTCCTGTTGATCCTGGCCGGAGGGACTGTTTATAGACGAGTGTGAACTCGTCATTCCCCTCCCCTGGTTCTCTGTGGCATTCAGAATAAAACCCAGTTCCGTTGCGCAGCCTTCATTTCCTCGAATGATCTGGCCCACGGTTCGTCATTAGCGCTGCTGATATTTGGGGCCAGATCATTCTGGGGTGGAGCCATCCTGCATATTATCGAGTGTGGAGCAGTATCCCTGGCCTCCACCCATTAGATGCCAGTAGTATCTCCTTCAGCAGCCCTGCCCATCAATCACATGTCTCTAGGTATTGCCAAGGGTGCCCTCGGGATGTGACAACCACTGATGTGGCCCCTGCCCACCCCTGAATCACTGGTCCAGCCACACGTCCCTTGAATATGCCAAACGCGGGCCAGCCTTGGGAACGGGGGGAGACTTGGCGTTTGGTACTCCTTTCTGGAGCACTTTGCTTCCAGCTTTTCCCCACTACTTCTTCCTCATCACCCAGATCCGGCTGAAATAGTACACTTCCTTATTTAAAGCCTCCCTCCTCCCCATAGCTGCTTTTCCCCATCATCACTAACTTCCATTACTCTTTTCACAAATGTTTTCTTGTCTCCTGCTGTCACTGGGATATTCTCTCCATGAGTGTATAGCGTGTTTCTCTTATTCACTCCTTGCGCAGAAAATTTTTAGATTTCAGTAAGTGTTAGATTAGTAAAGAGTGTACACGAGGTGCTGTGGGGGCTGGGCAGATGCCAAAGCCCAGGTCCTGCCCTCAGGGAAGTCCTGCCTGGAGTGAGCAGGGTCCTGTTTGCCGATGAAATAGCTAATGTGTGCTTCTGGTGTGCCTCGTTTGATCTTAAGGACAAGGTTCATGGTGTAGTGGTTCCTTAACCTTACTTGATGAATGTGAAAACAGACTCATCGAAATTAAAGACACCCTCGCCTTTAACAGGGGAGTCAGGAGTAGGGTTTTCCAGTGAGATTTACTGGCAGGATATGTCTTAAAATCTGGAAAGGCTGGTTACATCCAGTTCTCCCCTTTGCCCACAATGGTTCTCAAAGCATGGCCCTGGGCCAGCCACATCAGCATCACTCGGGAATTTGTTAGAACTGCAGTTCCCTGGATCTACTGAATCAGAGGCTCAGAAGTGGGGCTCAGTGATCTACAGTTTACCAAGCCCCCAGGGTTGGCACACATCCAAGACTGAGAACCAAGATCGGGAAAAAAGAAAAGAAAAAAGAAAATCTTCCTAAACTGGGATCTGCAAGTGAGCCTTAAAGAGCTCTTGGGAACATGTCCATTTCTGCACATAAATAAGTTTGTTTCAGGAAAGGAGGGACCACGTTTTCATCAGATTTTCCGGGGGCTCCCGTCAGTCTAGAAGCTTCAAGAACATGCTGCACTGTTAACCCAGACACAACCCGGCAGGAGTCCTGCGGAATACTCAACAAACATTGACAGGTGCTTTCTCGTCTCTTACCTCTAGCATGCAGACGGTGAGGACAGGAAAGATATTTCACGATGGACAGAAAATTCAAGGGGTACGTGGGTCCATATTTAACATTCACTCTTGACTTTCATCTAATTGCTGGATAACAAGGAACCTTTTCTAGTCTTGCTTGGGTGTCAGTGTTGTGGCAGGCATAGACCATGACTTAATCTAATCCTTACCATTGCCTTTTGAAGTAGGCGATAATCTTCCCATGTCACTAAAAAACTGGTTGAGAGAGATCACAGAACCTCAGCAAAGCCAGGAGAGGGCGCTGGGTTTAGGACTCAGTTCACCTGAGTTTTTATCTAGCGTTCTATCTGATAGAAGGTTTTAAATGCAGAGGGACAGAGAAAGCAAACCCTTACTTTGTTTACATGACGTTGTGTAGGAGAAAATTTCCTTTTGCCCCACGTGTGCCTATAAATACAAGAAGAAAAAACTATTTTGTCATCTCAAATGTGTTTCCTATTGATGTTGCGTTATTTCAGAAGTGATGTCAGCATTTCTAAATCAAGTGACTGGTCTCTAACGCGAGCTTTATGATTTTTGTCCTCTGGCCTCTCTTTCAAATAACAAATAACCTGGAAATACATAACAGAGACAAGAATGAGATGTGATGTGTATAATTATCCTGGGAATCTCTTTAAACTTTTAATTTTGACGTAATTATAGATTCACAGCATGCTGCAAAACAGTGCAGAGATGTCCCAGGTCCCCTCACCCAGCTTCCCCCATTGGTGACCTCTGACATGACCAAGGGATGACATCAAAACAGGAAAATTAGATGTAACCCACCTGCCTAATTTAGATTTCACTTTTACATTTTCTTTTTTTTTTACATTTACATTTTCAGTGTTGCACGTTAGGAAATGGTTTTTGCCAGGTAATTATTACTACTGATTTGATGAAGGTTTTATGACTCTCTTTCTCTAGGACCTCCTGTATTTTTCATCTGCGACAACTCGCTTGATTAAACATCCTTGCAAGAAAAACATAGCCCTGTATCTAGGGTAAGTGACCATTTTAGGTATTGTTACCTTCCTTTTTATTAAAACATCATATTTGCCCTCATTCCTTCATTCAGTCAACATTATGAAAAACAACTTGGTCCTGAGCTGCTAGGTGCTGGTCTACAGGGAGTCCACAGTTGGGGTAGAGGCTGGAGGAAGAGAGGTGAAGAGACCAACAAGTCACTAAAATAATGACAGTATAGCGTGGTACCACCTGTCATAGATACTTACTATAAATGCTTATGGGGGAGTCTGAGGAGAAAATGCCTAGAAAGTTTCTCTTGGGGAATTGATGCCCAGACTGGGCTTTGAAGCATGAATAGGAGTTCACCGTGGAGAAAGGGAGAAGCAAATATGAATGGCCATGAAGCAGAACATTCAGAGGAGTGGAAACCTCATGCACTTGGGATCGTCAGGGTGCAAAGCTAAAAAACTAGATCCATGCAGCATACCAAAGTGGGTATCCCTCATCCTAACGGCACTGGAGGATTTAGGGCTACACAGTTTGTGTTTAGGAGGATTTCCAAAAACCCAGGCCAAAAAAACTCCGAAACAACACAACGTGATAAAGCCTCAACAGAAGAAAAGGCCACGTGGAGAAGAAGGAGGCAGACTCAGCAGGACTTGCTGGCGGAAGGAGGCGAGCACGCAGTTTACAGCGGCTCCCACGTTTCCAGTGGAGAGAATGGGGATGGGTCGGCGGCTGGGGATGACTTGATTCTTGCAGGACACCAATGACACCTAAGACCGGAGATGGAAACTGGTCATTCATGGGGTGGGGAGCTTGCGACCTCCCAGGAATCACCTGTTTAGCGGCCAGCAACCCTGGGGAATATCGATTTTCTGCAGCAGATGAGGGAAGAGAAAGAGAGAGGCCAGAGCTGAAGAGGAGGCCATCACAGAGGAGCCAGGGCCCGTGAGTGGGTAAGAAGCCCCTGGAGGCGATGGGAGGATGGAAGAGAAAGCGGGGACATGGAGAGCCAAAGCTCATGTTACTCTCTCCACAAGCCCAGACAGAAAAAGGAGGGAGGTCACTACAGAGACTGAGCAGCTAGGGAGGCAGAGTCTGGAGGCTGACTGGACGGGCCTGGGGAGAGCGGGTGATCACGGAGAAGGAGACAGGTCTTCCTGGGACCAGGGTGGAGGCTGGCCCAGAACAGGGTGAGGACTTCCACAGCAGAAGCATCTCAAATGAAAAGACTTGACTCCTGTGTCATTCCTTCAGACTGGGCTGCCCTATCAAATAGCCCCTAGCCACATGTGGCTATTTACATTTAAAATTTCCTTTGACCAGTGAATGGATAAATAAAATGTGGTCCATCCATACAATGGAATATCATTCAGCCCCAAAAACGCAGGAAACTTTGACACTCACTGCAACATGGACGAACCTTGAGGACATGATGCTCAGTGAAAAAAGCCAGTCACAGAAGGGCAAATACTGTCTGATTCCACCCCTAGGAGGTCCCTAGAGGAGTCAAATCCAGAAACAGAAGGCTGGTGGTAGGTGTCAGGGGCTGAGGGAGGGGAAGGGGGAGTGAATGCTTCATGGGGACAGAGTCTTAGTTTGGGAAGATGAGAAAGTTCTGGAGATGGACAGTGGGAAGGTTGCACGACAGTGTGAGTGCTTAATGCCACTGAACTGTGCACTTCAAAATGGTTTAAATGCATATTTTAGCACAATTAAAATAAATGGTGAAAGATATATTTTAAGTTATGTGGATTTTACCATAATTTTAAAAATTAAATATTTTTAAGTGAAATGAAATATAGAGAAAAATCCACAGTCAAACCAACCGCATTTCAAGCCCTCAGTGTGGCCAGCGGCTGCCGTGTTGGACAGCTCGGAAACAGGGCTTCTCCCTCACTGCAGAAGGCTCTGTGGTCTGTTTGTCTACAGCCCAGTGGGCTAAGAATGGTATTTATATCTTTATACACTTGAAAACAATTCAAAAGAAGACTTAGGATTTTGCAACACTTGAAAAATGACATGAAATTCACATTTCCTTGTCTCTAAATAAAGTTTTATTATCACATGACCACGTCCATTCCTTTATGTGATTGCACCATTCACAGAGATGAATGGGTGAAGACAGAGGCCCCTAAAATATTTCCTATCTGGCCAATGACAGAAAAAGTTTGCTGGACCTCTCATGTGGAGCAAAACACGTAAATGGCACCTCATTCCCAGAACACATTGGAATCAGAGAGCATTGGACTCCAACAGCTTCTGGAAATAAGAAACTCTAATGCATAATAAAGTTATAAGATACCACTTCTCACCCACTGTGTTGGCGAGGATGAGGGCAAAGGAGGATGAGGCTAAGTGGGTCTCTCTTCTGTGGAGGACAGTTTGGCAGAATCTGTCAAAATGTTCAGTGCATGTTCTCAGACACAGATCTCACTTCCAGAAAGTTAACCTACAATGATAACTTGTTTATGTTCCCAATGCATACCCTGCCCTAGGCCTTTGTCCCCCTGCAGTCAAGGGGAAGAGCATTCTTCGAAGCAGGGACAGCATATGCAAAGGCCCTGAGGCAGGACCTTGTCTGATTGTTGGGAGAACAGCTCAAGCACCATGATGGAGAGTAAAGCGTGAAGGGAGACATCAAAGTGTCATCACGTGGGGCTTTGTCAGCTATGGTGATGAATCTGAATTTCAGCTTAACTCTCGTGGGAAGCCACCAGCGATTAGACAGGGGAGGGACATGATCTGACTTCTCTTTTGAAGGACCCTGACTTCTGGTTGGAAAACAGGAGGCAGAGAGGTGAGACTGAAGGAGGACACAAGTGAGAAGCTGAGGTGTGGTCCAGTGAGAGACCAGGAGGCAGCACTGGAGGGAGATAGGGTTACAAGAGTGGTGGCTCAGAGGAAGAGGGGTTGTGGGGAAATCAAGGAAGGTTGCATGGAGGAAGAGGCACCTGAGCCGAGTTAGGTAGTTTAGCCCAGGTAGGATTTCAGCTCATTAGGATAAGTGGGTGGAGAAGGTCTGGAAAGCATTGAACTGAGTCAAGGGCACTTAACTGAGGAGGAACAATGGGGTGTCAGCCTGGAGAAGGGCACAGAGCTCTACTTAGCTAAGAGTTAGACTTCCTGTCTTCTGGTGTAAAGGCTGAGTACCACATAGGATGAATAGGAGTTGGCTTTGGAGGAAATAGGCAGTACCAGATGGCATGAACAAAAGACACAATATGGCATGTGATGTTGGAGTGTAAAACAGAAGTCCAGTGTGGTGAGACGTGAGCCAGGGGCAGTAGTTCTCAACTGGGGACGATTCTGCACCCCCCTCCCCAGGGGAGGCTGGGCAGCACAGCGGGGCATTTGTGGTTGTCATGCCTGGGGCATGCTACTGCCATCTAGTGGAGGCCAGGGGTGCTGCTCAACCTCCTGCAGTGCCCATAACAGCTCCCTACAAGACAATGGTCTGAACCCAACGTCCCTGGTGCTGGGGTGAGAAGCCCTGGAGTAGGAAGATGGATAGAGTTCAGATAGCGGATCTCCCTGTAGGTGGTTCAGAAGCTTCACCCTTGATCCTTTAGGAGACAGGCAGCCATTCGAGTTTTCCAAGTAGTGGAGAGGCTGATGCCGGTAACCCTCACCCTTTGGGCTGGCTGTCCTCTTTTGCTATAACACTGTGATACATCTAATTTTGAAAGCATTCTTCTTCTCTCTCCCTTGCTGACAGCCATCGCATTGTGTGGCTGTCAGCTTGCCAGTGCTTGCAGAGACTGGCATGGGAGTCCACCACTCATTCTCTAATTTACTGTTTTAAAATTGTGTCTAAAACCAGACCACATAAAATTTAAAGGAGAGAATATCAGTGAAGTATTTGACCTGGAGTCTACTAACAGTATGGTGTTGACTTTGCACTTTGCACGTTCGAAGCTTGTTTTACTTACTTCTGGGTTCTTTTTTCTTTTTTTAAGTTCTGGATTCTTAACTAGATTTCTGACAGCTGTGCTTCCTGGAAAAGTGATCGTTATATATGTATTTCAACCCAAAACTTCCTTCTTTGTATATTTTTTTCCTAGTGAAGTAGAGCTGTTCTTATGAGAAGAGCCTATGTTTGGTTATCTTTGTGTCCCTAGAGCCTGGTATTCAATAAATGTGTGCCAAATGAATGAGTGAATCAGAGGTTTTGTTTTTTTTTTTTAAGGTCAAAGTAGGTGAAAATCTTGCAATGGTTCAGGAAACTTTTTTTTGGAAATCTCACTTCACTGACAGGTTCTAAAATAGAAACAAAACCAAAAATAGATAGACAAAATAATATCCCCTAGTTCATGCTTCAGAGTTCCTCCCTTCCCCAATGTTTTGCTGGTTTTGATGTCAACAGAATCTATGTGGACAGTATTTAACCATGTAAAAGAGACAATATAAAAGTAAAAATAACCGAGAAAACCGTATCACTCTCATTTCAACTTCCTGTCAGTAGTCCCAGCCCATGCAATACACAAGACAAAGATATGAAATACATACACAATTAGATTGAAAGAGACAACGTCTGCCAAGTCTATGAGTACCCACTAGCAGAAGTAGTAATTGATTGCATCAAGATGGCCAAACGCAAGACTGACATGAAAAAAACATCAAGAGCTCTCCTGTGAACTGAGCCATGACCACTTATAAAAGGCAGTTGTGAGGGGTGCCATTCACAATAGCAGCAAAAACTTTAAGATACATGGGAATTAACTCAGGAACCCCTTTTTGTCTAAAACCATAAAACTCTTCTGCTAAAGGGACGGGAGACCTGGATAAGGAAGCGGTATACCGTGTCCACGGCTGGCCTTTTGCTTCTTAAAGGTCTCCTGCGTGAGGGAACACATTGCTTCTTTCTTATATACACATTCCTTTACTTTAGCGGGATCAGAGCAATAGAAATATTTTAAAATGACAAAACCGAAGTTCATCCTGAGCAAAATAGTCACTTAATGTACACTTTGTATCATTTTATTTTTGATGTGATCATGCTTTTAAAATAATGTTATTATTTCAAGATGTCAAATACCCGGGCTATAGAGGTTTACTCATGCAAAAATAGACAGATGGTAAATAGATAGATAGGTAGATAGATAGATAGACAGACAGACAGACAGATGCACGATGGCTCCTTGCTAAGAAAGGAA